TGAAGAAACAAATTCCCTAGACAGGAACTTCTTGGTCGACCAGGGCCTCCTAACAGTAAGGTTGCTGTGTACCCTCTCGCTTGTGGAGGTTCAGCTCTGAGATCCAGTCGGCCAACAAGTTGCACTCATTACAACTTGCGTTATCATTCCCATGGGTTATTGAGACATTGTTGACCAGTCCGCTGATAGTAGCAAAACCTTGTCATATTTGGTGCATTTGATGGTTCTCCCAAGGGCAAACATCTGGAAATGAACAGAACGCAATATAGTTCCAAAACAGTCCTGGTGCATATTTAACATATACTTGTGGTTCCCTCCCCAATCAGTTCAGTTGGTACTTGGTAACTAGTTATAGAATATAGTCTTCAAGATATCTTGGGCGCTTACGAGTACGCTTAGAACCATAACCACAAACCTCTTCTGACGGAGAGTGGTCCTCTATTATAGGTAAGTCCTCTGCAAAAACTTCGCTGTTGATTTCCACGGGGAAATTTTGTGCTGGTATGGTATTAACCTTATGTGTTTCATTACGGGAAATAGCTGGCTTCATACAGTCAACATGTATTATTTGAGGTTTACCTCTCAATCCACAATTGACTCGATAATTGACTTCACTGAGTTTTGCTGTTATTTGAAGGGTCCTTTCCAAAACATTGCAGTTTTGGGCATATGCCTACTTTCCTATGGGGGAAGTAAACCCAAACTTGACTTCCTACTTTATATGCTGAAGATTTTGTATGTTTGTCGTAATACTTCTTCTGTCTTAATTGATTTTGTTCCAGGTGCTTCCTAGCCAGGACAAATACATCCTCTAGATGTTCCTTTACATCATTTACCCATTGATGCGGTGAACTGATATCCTGAATTGGAAGTCCTACAAACATATCAACTGAAAGATTGATTTCTCATCAATAGATTTGGGGTGAAATTTGTACTTTCATGAATTGTGGAGCAGTAAGCCATAGTTAGATAAGGTAAACAGAAGTCCCAGTCTCTCTGATTTTCGCTTACAAAGCACTCAACATAGCCTCCAACGTCCTATTGAACCGTTCTACCATTCCGTCGGACCTTGGATGGAACGGTGTGGTCCTAGTTTTGTCAATGATAAGGAGTTGACACATGCCTTGGAAAATTTTGACTCGAATTGTCTCCCTGGTCAGTATGGATTTGTCTGGGTACACCAAATCTTGTGATGAAATTTTCTATCAAAGTTTCAGCCACTGTTATTGCCTCTTGGTTTGGCATTGCGTATGCTTCTACCCATTTTGTGAAGTAATCTGACACAACTAAGATATAGATGTTCCCATTTTCAGTTTCTGGAAGTGGGCCTACAATATCCATATCTACCCGCTCTAGAGGGACTCCAGCCCCGGACAACTGCATCGGACCTTGACGTTTCCTTGGAGGAGGCTTACGCTTACAACAGGCATCACAAGACCGAATCCATAACTAAGTGCCTCACTGCACATTGAAATTTCTGACCACTTAGGTTTATGACCCTTTTCTAGAAAAGTCAGTACTTTTCCTAAGTCCTGGTCCTGTTTCTGATTGTCGATTAAGTCCTGTTGACTTGTATCGACCAACTGTAATTGTCAAACTTCCCTAGTTACAGGTGAGTCCTCAGACGTCATACCACACTGTCTGCAAGGAAGGCGAGAAAGGCCATCTGCATTAGCATGTTTGCGTCCTGGTCTATGCTCTATTTCGTATTGGAAAGAAGATAGAGTCTCCAGCCACCTAGCTATTTGTCCGCATGGTTCTTTAAACCGAGTCAACCAGCCAAGTGCCCCATGATCTGTCCTTATCAGGAAGGATTTTCCATACAGATAGGGTTTTAAATGTTTGAAAAAGTGTACTATAGCCAATAACTCCTTCCAGGTGACGCAATAATTTCTTTCTTGTTTTGTCAGTGTTCTACTGGCATAAGCAATTGCCCTTTCAACTCCATCCTGTACCTGACTCAGAACCGCACCTATTGCAAAATCGCTTGCATCTGTGTCGAGGATGAATGGTTTGGTGAAATCAGGATGGGCCAAAATGTCGGCACTGATGAGTTTACTTTTAAGATGTTCAAAAGCGATTGAACATTCCTGAGTCCAATTATATGCTCTGTCTTTCTCGGTCAACTTATGCAGACAAGCTGCAACCTTAGCGAAACCAGAGATGAAGCGACGGTAGTAGCTACACAAACCCAGAAAACTTCTAAGTTCCGATACATTCTTCAGACTTGGACAGTTTTGATTGCTTCTACCTAGGGTCGGTGTGATTTACAATGTGACCTAAGTATTCCACTTCCCTCTTGAGCAAATGTTAGGTTTCAACTTTAACCCGGCTTCCCTAAGTCTATCAAACACTTGCTTCAGGCGACTGAGTGCCTCATCAAAGTTGCCGCCAAACACAATAATGTCATCCAGATAGACCAGACATATTTCCCATTGAAGACCCATGAGTACTGTTTCCATTAGCCTCTCAAAAGTTGATGGTGCATTGGTAAGGCCAAATGGAAGGACTTTGAATTGATACAGTCCTTGACGAGAACAGAAACTAGTGATGGGACGATCATCGGGGTGGACTTCTACCTGCCAGTAGCCGGACGTTATGTCCAGGGTACTGTACCAACTGGAACCAGCTAACGAGTCTAAAGAATCGTCTATTCTCGGAATAGGATAAGCATTGATCACTGAATGATTTTTACCGATCGAAAATCCACACAAAATCTTGTAGTTCCGTCTTTCTTCTTAACTAGCACAATAGGGAAGCCCAAGGACTATTGGAAGGTTCTATGACATCTTTGTCTAACATATCCTGAACATGTTTCTGACTATGGACTGGTAACCTCCTTACTGGCTGTTTAATGGGTTGAGGATTGTCTAGCAAAATTCTATGTCGGACAAGGTTGGTTCTCCCTATGTCCGTTGACAAAGCTGAGAAGATGTCCTGATATTCAGTTATTAAAGTTTTAAGCTTAGAGCTCTGCTCCGGACCTAAGTCTGTAACAGCTTCTTTTGCCATTTCTTCTAAGTATTCAGGTAATTCTGAATTTACTTTCTTCATGTTCCTCACCCGTCCAGGTCTATTGGACTGCACTGCTTGGACATGATCTATTGGAAAACATTCTGCAAAATGAGTTCCCGCATAAATTTTGATATCCTCCTCAGATGGATTGAGCACCCTGACGACTACCTCAGCTTCATTTTTCGGAGGCGCAAGTCAGAGTTCTAGCTACAAATAACCCGCTTTTGGACATAAAAGACTGGCTCCCTTCAATGAGATAGTCTTTGTTTACAGCTTTGGATTGTCAGTGAGAATTTGACCTGGCAGAATCATCTCATGACGTGCAGGGATACTTATTGTTTTCGGACAGGATACACGAAAGCAGAAATCCATCTCTCTCTCGTCTTCACAAGGCAAGATATTTTCCTCAATCTCAAGGGATCCATCTCCCATATTCAGATTACATGCATTCTCTTTCAGAAAGTCCAGTCCAAGTATGTCCTGATTTCCTATTTCAGCCACCGAGAACTCATGTTTACAGGTGTGTTTTCCTAAGCTTATATGGAAAAGTCCTTTTCCCAGAAGGCTCAATGGTTTTCCATCTGCCTGTAATATCCTCTCAGAAGAAGCCTCTAAACTAGGTTTCCTATCTTTGAGAATTTGTGAATAACTTTTCACAGACATTAATGACACAGATGCCCCGGTATCTATCAACATGGAGAACTTTGAACCATTAACGACAACAGGAACACAGATCCCGGAAACATCACGATTATCATTTATTTTACAACTGGGTCCTTCTTTTACAGCCTTACTCCGGCCCGTGAGTGTGGGCTTATTGAACGACCTCCTCTTATTTTGTATTCCCGAGGAATTACCCAGAGTTACTATCTGAGTGAGACTTGCCACTGCCTTAGTCAAGTCAGACACCTGAGACTTTAAATCCTCGTTTCTAGTATCCTCTATCACCCTGGCCAGCTTACGTCCTCCCTGACGTTGAATTTCAGCATGTTGGAAAGCTTCTAACTCAACAGCTAACTGCACAGCCTCATCTAGGGTTCTAGGTCTAGATTGTTGTACTCTTAGTCTCATTTCTGACTCCTGAAGTGCCTCGATAAAGTGATCCTTAGCCAAGATTTCTACAAGTTCTGTACCAGCATCAGGGTACGCCATGCAAGCAAGTCTTCTTATACTTTGTCCCAACTCAGATAAAGTTTCATCTCTGTGTCTAGTTCTACTTTTCAGCTGTACTTTGTACAATTCCGTCTGATTACTTGGAGCAAATCTCTGTCTCAAGGCTTGTACTAGCCTGTGATAATCAACTCTATGAGCAGGAGGTAAGTTCCTAACACCTGTTGAGCAGAACCACGCAGCTGGACAGCAAGGTAAGTAGCTTTGGACTTCATCTTAATGGTTTAATTCAGGTACCATTTCAAAATGGACTTTAAAATCATGAAAGGAGCTCTGTCCATCAAAAGTCATGGGTAAATAGTTGGTTTATCCTGAACAACCCTCCGATCCTGCCATCATTGATATCCTAGAAGTTGGTCGGTCCTCCAGCAGACTATCAATAACTTCTATCAGTGTTGAAATATATCCTTATTTGACCAGCCCGAGTCGCTTACAGTGCCTGCTGTTCCAGGTGTACTTCCTGAAAGGTGTTCGTCCTGTATCCTCTTGCCTTTGAATACGAAATACTGTGGTACAGAACCACCGGACGCAACCTATAGCAGTTTGTAGAACTTGATCTTGATGTTGTGACTGCACTCGATGTAACTACTGATGGTGGGGTATGATTCTCCACAAGTCCCTTTTCATCAACATTATAAATTTGACGAGGGCATGTTTTGCTCTTCTTCTAAGGCCAGAAGGGTTCTCTACCAGTAGTCGTGCATTCAATAGAAAATGTCCCACTAAAAAATGTCATGAAGTGTAGCAAATGGAACAGCAAATGTAGTGGCAGCTTTACTAATTGACATCCCATCCAAAACAGCATTATATTTATAACTATATCAACTCATGGTGATATATTTGTCCCCGCCGCACGTACGTCCCGATTGAAAATGTTACATGTGTATCTAGATATTCTGAAATGCTAAAAATATATTGATAGAAACTATATGCAAACTAAATTGCAATAATCAATACATATCGTTATTTTTTAAAATGACAAAATTTACATTGCATTCAGTATGTAAAATGAAAGTTCAACCGTGATATTAAAAGATTATTTGAAACGCATAAAATCAATAAGAATAAGTAAAATTTAAAGGTTCTAATTTACTTATTTCAAATGTGGTAATTACCAGAAAAAGGTGGTAATTACAATTTTAAAACAGAAAATTCAGAAAACCCATTTTGACCCTCTGGGTTTCGTTACCTCTGGGCTTCGTACAAGAGTCATCCATGTTTGACGGAAGACATTACTTGAAATCACAAGACCCGTGAAGGTCCGGGTTAGACTTTAGTAACGTACACATTTAACATAATAATCAACACTTATACAATATCTACCACAATCTGCTAATATAGCATTGCTAGAAACATGTTTACCTACACCAAGAACATATTTACAGAAATCTGTTAATTAACTGTCGTTCTTGATAACCCCACACTTCTGCACCATAAAGCAAAATTGGCTTCACTTTGGTTTGTACGTTGATGGCACGGAACCTCTTCCTGCACCTATCACCTGGGGCTTCGCAGCGAGACATTTGCCGAAAAGTTTTGGAAAGTTTACATTGTCTAACATGCTGCTCAGTGCAGACACTTTATGTGAAAAGACATCGGTACTGGACTGGTGTAGATTGCCCATTTTGAGTATAAATCCACCTTTGCTTAACGCATTGTCAACAGAAACTGCGTCTCTGAGATACGTGCAAGCGATTGTTTGGTGGGGTGCTCGATTTATGTCCAGGAAATGTAACAATGTCAAATGAGGCATTCTTTATCGTGCATACAGCTCCTCTTCACCCAGAATCTCAAGTTACTTTGTTCTTTCTCTGAAAAGCCGTTCTCTTAAAAACGTGTCATATTCCTTACAAAATAGCACCGTAGACAACATCTTAGTCGATTGTAAGACCTTGCAATTGGTCCGGACCATTTGTAAGTTTAATTTTAGCTTTCAATGATCTTAGCTTACAGTCCTGTGAAAGTGGATGGCAATTGTAGCCGAAGCCTAAAGATCGCCATGTTAAGGACTTACATAATTGTAGTGCTAATATTGTTTTGAGCAAGTGGGCCCTGGTCTTGTTTAAAGATCACCATCCATGAAACTTAAAACATACTGGAAATATAGACAGTGCGCAGTCTTCTTTCTAGCCTTAGGGGCGGTGGGGGTAGCCTAGTGATCAGGCTTCGATTCCAAACATAGGTGCAATGTGTGAAGCCCATTTCTGGTGTCCCCGCCGTGATATTGCTTGAATATATTGCTAAAAGCGGCGTAAAAGCATTCTCACTCATTCTAGCCTTAATAAACTGCCCTCAATTATGTAATATTAGGTTAGAGTTGAGGCTGATCTGTGGGTTGCCCAAATCAGTATGTTAGAATGGGCAACTATAGTTGCCAGCAGCAGAAAATAATAGAAGAATCACATTTCTACTGAAAAACAGACAATAATAAAACAAAGCCAAAGCAGCATGCCCTCTACCAGTGTCTCCTCGTCAGCATGTTGGACCAGATGACTATGGTTGTGGGCATGAATAATGTGATGCGCAGCAATCTAGCTATTCACGAACGTTCGTAGCCCATTCTTAACACATTGGCTACGATCAAAGTTAAGAATTCTTAGGGCTACGAATGTTTCGAGAATAAGGGCCCTGGTCTGCGTGGAAGCCAAGGTAGTTTTGGGTGGCCTTCATTGATCCCAAGTTGTTGATCCTAGCCGAAATCAGATGGCCCTGGGATGTCATGTGGACTTCAGTTGGGTTTCCACCATAGGAAGGAGTTCCTCCCACTTCATCCCTCCCTGACCAGCCACAGACAGGTTGTTTACCCCTCCCTTGAAACAAACTGATGGGTCCTCGCCAAGTAGCTTGATCCTACAAGCAACTACTTTCCGAAAACGTGTCAACCGAAATCTCGAAAGAGCATCAGCAATTTTCATTTGTATTTAGTTTTAAAGATGATGTCATATTTGGGGCGCAACAGGACTAGTTTTCTTACCAAAGCCATCACTCTTAGGGGATCTGCAAGACTGGTTGCTAATAATGTGAACAGCAGCAGTTGTCACAGTTGAAAAGCACCCTTCCTATTTACAATTGACCTACCCCATAGCCTGATTGACAAAACAATAGGAAACAATTCCAACAAATGGGTGATTCTCTGGTCAGGCTTCCCTCCCTCCACTCCTTTGGCCAGGGCTATATATACCTAGTGGCCCTAAAAGTGTGCTCTGAAACCTGCACTGCCTGCTGCATCCGTGAAAGCTACAATGTACTATTGTCATCCCAATGTGATTTCTGAAAGATCGAATTTCCATTATAATTAGAAATAAATTCTGACCAAATAATAAGATCCTCTTTCAGTGTGCATGTTAGCCGAATGCGATGAAAGGCTGATTTTATAGTACTCATTACAGTACCCATAACTTCTTCTTCAGCGACTGTTTTACATGGACGCCACATGTCGGCAGCATAGGAAGGGGTTGACCAATGGGCGAACTCTTGACGTCAGGGGAACCTGAATAACACTAGAACTGGCGGCATGGTTAGATTGGGCGGGAGTACGAAAAGCCTGTGAGGAAGTTGACGTTTGAGGCAAATTCGACTTAATTATATTCAAAATTGCACCAAAATGGGCGAACAATTTATCCGCCGCATTCTTCTGAAGAAGATTGGTATCGGAATTTACATTAGGAACCACATCACTTTGTTTGTGCGCTGGTAGGAGTGACGACTCAACATGAACGCTAGGTACAGTAGACAGGGGGTCTATGAAAAGATTCCGTAATTGTTCTTGAAGCTCTCGTTGTTGTTGAACTAAAGAGCCAGTTGTTTTTCTGAATTTCCCCGTTCCTCACCAACCTGTGGTTTGTTGCAGCTCGTCGCTTGGGAGGCATAACGAGTGGGATCAGATAACTAATGTATTCCAAACAATAACGTGAAGCTTCACTCTTCACTGCTCGAGGTGAGGAGCGAAAATACAATTTTTGCAGGAGACGAAGAGGATAGACTCACTGTGTTAATCTAAAATATCAATGGATGAACAAATGATGACGTGATCAGAAGACACATGACGTCATTGGAAAATAACCGGAAGTGACATAAGCAAAGATAAAAGAGCAGGAAGAACGAAAGGAAGTTCGAATGGTTTCAGTAGTAAAGGCATTGAGTGTATTAGGCACGAAATGAGATTATTTCTGATTACCTACATGGTCACGTGTCTTCTAATTTTCTACTTTTGAATAATTTCACCTCAGAGACAAATTCAGCCTGATCAAAAGGTTGGAGGGTTCTCCAACCAATAAACAGACGACAACATCCGGATCATTTTCTTAACTTTCTTGACGGAAGAGTTCCAAATTGTCTTAAACAGAGCGTGCATTGAGCATACTCAAGCCGAATGCGTTGTACTCAACTGAGTACGCACTGAAAACGTTTTATAACCTTTGAGTACAAAACTCAACTGAGCATGAAATGAGTTGAGCACGAATTTGGTTTAGTGGAAGTCCTTTGGAAGAGACCATGCTCTCTCATCAACCGATACCTACCTGGAAGTGCCTCTGTCATCATGAAGCCATGGCCATAGCACTTACTAAACTGAGGAAATCTGAAACAAACGAGCTTATTTACCAACATCAATATGGTGAAATAAGAAACACTTATGATACCTTCAAATCTGTCATCACAGTTGGATCCAAGGATGATGGCAGTGTTGCTGGTGCTACTGTCATTGGATAACTAACAGTCCCCATGACCGTTGTATGGTGATCTACATTCAGTTATTGACCATCTGTAGCTTGTTATATGTTGTATTCTCTATAGTTTTTATTTACATGCTGGTTTTACATCTGTATTTGATTTTCTAATTGTTTTTAATTGTGTTCGTCAACAGGTTATATACTTCGGTTTCTGTGTCATGAATGTAAAACTTGTTATAGTAACTCACTCACTATACTTGATATTAAGGGTCATACATTACAATTGTATATTTTGGAGAACAGGCTGTACTG